TGTAAAATGTAAGAGGAGTTTGAGAAATAAGAGCGTGACAGACGGACGGACGGACGGACGGACAGACATGAGTAACGACAATATACCCGAACTTTCTTTAGAAAGTGCGGGTATAAATATGCAAAATTACTGCTTCTAAATCTTTTATATAAAGATTCCTTACAAATGTAAAAAAAAAAATATACTGTAAAGAAAAGATCAGGATCGAATGAACATTTAGTATTTATGCAAGAATTACCGGTACTTTTATTTCCCGAAAAACCAAATAAAACGTAACGGGAAAAAATTGAGTACATATAAAATTGTTTTACACACCACATAATGCACTTATCACAAAGTTAATTCATCTTTACTACTTTTAATTTAATGCTATGAAATAGTAAGAACCTGCCTATAAGTTATTGGGGTCATGTGACCGAATAAAGCTGATTACAAAAATGTAAAAAAAGGAGAAAAAAATTAACGACTCATTGAGCTAGGTATGGTGAATCTTACATAAAGTTTTTTTTAACCGAAATAAAACATCACACAGAATACCAACCCCGTTTCAAATTGGGATATTTAATCAGAGATAGTAATTGATTGTAAACTAAAAACTTAACCTAATGAAAAAATTGACGACTTTAACTTTTCTATCATCAACTTCCTTTATTTTAATTGCAATATACCATTATCACCTACATGGGGTATTTTTCGATACGCAAGAGCAAGTTCTGTGTAAGATCAATTTCGGTTTCCCAGGCAAATTTCTGAAAAATGAGTAGATGACAGAGGAGTTTTACAATCTTACCTAGTAATTAAAGTCAACATTTCACAAATTCCTTCCTTATAGTACTACATACCTTGTCTAGAAATGCAATTTGTCGTAAAGTCAAATATTGACTGACATTTTTAATTTAAATTGTTTGACAATTACATATATTTTCAAACGTAATCTGATTTGTCTTCGGATTTCTCTCTTTACACAATCAAGACAAAGGGATCACTTCTCGTGTAACTGGTCCACAACGTATGCTTACTACTCCAAGGCACCTGAGCCAACCTTTAACCGTTTAATTACATTTAATTCCATAGACAACGTTAGAAGACGCGTATTTCAGATCGTCACAAGTTTTGTGATAACTTTTTCACAAAAAAGGAGTATAATACCAGAGGTGGGATCAGGACCTAGGAGGAGTAAGCATCTCCTTTTGACCGATCACAACAGCCTGAACCTATGTATTGATAAGGTATACAGAGTAGTCAAATTTAGTATAAAATCTTAGAAAATTTTGTCAAATCCGTTGTAAAGATACTTTTTAAACGTATATTCAAGACTCAATTAAGTTTCAAGACCCACCCACCCCGCCAAGGACAGACTTCATTCAAATAAAAGTAATTCAAAGATTGATAAATGTATATGCAGGTTTCCTCATACATGTTTAAATACATCTGCTCAAGTGATGGCCCTACTTTTTTTTATTATTTAAATTTTGTAATGCAAAGGAATTGTTAAACAAGAATACAAATTTTCAATTCAATTTCTTAATGTCCTCGTGCATTGTAAATTCGATTTCATTCAGTTCGTTGCACATTGCATCTAAAGGTGATTCGTTATAGTTTAAAGTTTTTACAAAGGAAGAGTTAAGAAAAAAAACAAATGTCTCGGAAAACCCTGCTTTATGATACTAGGGTGACCGTAGAGGTCCGATGTGCCTCATGTTCAATAAAATATGCGATTATTTTGTACATTGATAAAAGTTAAGATTCTTTCATGAATGGTACGTACATTACAGCAGAAAACTGTGACCATAACACAGCGGTCATCATCCACTTCCCCCACGACGGACGTATCGAGGCAAGCAATATCTCATTCAACCACGGAATTAACAACTCTATCAAAAACATCAACAATATTCTTCTCGCCTTCCACAGCATTTACCCCAGTTTCAAATAAAGAAGCTTCCAATGAAGAAGGTTAATATACTTTTTAATAAACATATCAAAACTTCATTAACTAATATAAAGGAGATTCTGGTCAAAGTGTCATCATTTTCTTTCGAGCAAATATGCCTTACTCTTTCTCATTAAAAGTCATCGGGAATTTTTACTTGTATTTCTTTCAAGATTTGTATTATGTAAAGGATTTATAAGATTAATCACGATCACTGTTTATCATTTTATAACATATTAAATATATCAGCAATGAATGTGTAGGTTAACGTTAATACAGCAATGGATTTTGACATTTATAGGTACATGTAATTATTACATTTATGTTATATAAAGAAATTCCATTTTTCGACAGGTGCATTTAGTCCAACAACTACAATTATTGTTGCTTCTGTTGCCACATTTACAACTATATCTGTGCTGATTTTTGTCACCTCGCTATGCATAAAGTAAGTATAGTGATTATTTAAAGATGGTTGATTATTTTTATAAATTTCTGTACATAGAGTAGAAAATATTGAAGATGCTTGATAAGCATTTTTCAAATAACTGTTTTTTAAGTAGTAAACTTGAATTTTTTGTTTTGTTCTAGAATGTTGACTATGTTATTGATAAAAAAGTCTATAAATTGTGTTCAATATTATTTCGGAGGTAACAACACTAGAGGGAGAAGGAAACGTTTCTAATAAAATCATTGTATATCGATACCTGCAGAGTAAAAATTAATCTTTAGTCTTATCACTGTTTATCTTTATATCTAAAAATCATTTTAAAAATTTTATGAAGAAAAAGGCAGAAAAAAGGGAATGAAGCTAACGTTGTTACTGAACAAATTCATGGGTCAGAGACAGAATTAAATACATACATGTACAGCGGGAGTCCCTCTGAGGTATACCAAAGTAAAACTGTGAATCATCATAATCCATCAGAGAATAACGAAGAAAAAGACAACAGTGTGTTTGACGATGACGATTATAATCATCTACAGGTCATCTTGAGAGGAAGAGAATCTTATAGTGCAAATATTTACAATACACTGACGAATTGTAAATCAGAGAGGGATGCTGATACGGACGCGAGCGAGTTGTACAACCATTTAAGGGAGACAAACGTTCAAGCAGCAGACGACATTTACGATCACATGACGGAAGAAAATGACTGTGAATACAGCTTCGCAGATTCTGCTGCAATTAAAGATTCGGATGTACTTTGCAATTATGATCACATTGTACATCCAAATATCAAAGATAAATTTTATGAAATGACGGGTGATAACAACAAACAAAATATTTGATTTGTGAAGAAATCAACTTGCGTGGTGAAATCTTCATATGTTCCTTCTGAAGCTAGTTTTAAAATGTATTTAAAGATTTTCAATAATTTAATTGGTTGTATCATTGTCATTTTACTTTGTACGTTTTTAATTTTCAATTAATTTTTCTAACAAAGAAGTCACATCTATATGTGGTATCAAAATTAATTGAATAAGAAGCATTTTTACTTCAGGATTAAATTGGGTTAACGTTAAAGATTAAATTGCTTAAAAAATCAAGATCAATGTTGTTATAATAGGAAGCAATTCATGCTATTTTTTTTTATATCATCCTATAATGAGAGATTAAATTTTATGTACCATTTAATTATTGTCTTTTTTTGTTCGATGATCAAAGATTATTTAAAGTTACCAATCTGACTTAATCTGGTATCATAATTTAAGTGGGTATTGTAGTTTTTTCCCACGTGAATGTGCTATCATAATGATGTTATATATAGGTTAAAAAAGTATATATTTCTATACTCTGAAATTCACTAATTTACATCATTTCATTTTTTAACCCAAAAATTATCTTAATTATTATTTGCCATTAGGCATGTAATATTGAGGCCTGTAAATTTTTAGAAACTGTTTTGACAAAATGATAAACTTCCTGCATTCTTACCAACCTAACCATTAAAAATCCAGATGATTTTTCCTTGTACCAGAGAACCTTAACCTGAATAGATATCTCGTGGTAAGAAAAACTAATTTTGTTGACAGTTAAGTGGAATTAACTCACAAAGTCCTAGAATTTAATCACAAAAATCACAAAAATCCTAATCTACAGATTATTAAAATTCATAACAATTACTAGATTTTGATAGGTAAGGAGGGTTATCTGTAGGAACTACAATAAATGAACTTTAAAATCTTTCATAAGATTGCTTTTGTCCTAGAAATGTGATAGAAGTCAATATTGGGTATTATAATGAACTGTAATACCGTAATACGTGATCAAAATGATAGCTTCCTGTTGTTATTTAAAGCAACTTATAATCAAACAGGACATAACAGGAAAGTATTATATCACGTGTTATATGAGTGTTATATCACGAATTACAGTTTCTTATACTACCCAACAAAACAAAATTAAAAATAAATAATAAATTGACATACTCATTCCTGTGTACAGCTTCTTGAAAATGTTAATATATCCCTCATACAATGTCCATAATATTGCATCTTCCAGTTGATTCGATACCCAAGAGGATGCTCTACGTACGAACAATTTCTAAAATGAGGCAATCTATTGACAGACGAAGTGATGAAACAGGGATATCAGCAGTCTTGTTTGGAGTCATCATTTCGCAAGTTCTATGGTTAATACAATGATCTTGTGGCAAATCACAATCACACGGAAATCCTTTTTATCATTTATTATGGCGATTAAAGGCAAATAACAAATCCACAGGGGTTAACAATCACAATACCACATTGGCTAAGATATTCAGAATGTTTTCTGATATATACTTAATCTTTGTTTTCAATCTAATCTCAATCTTTTTCTCAATCTGATCTATGATCACAAAAATTGTCACTTATATACTATGAAGGAAACATCTAGAAATAGAAAGTTCTGTCAAATTCTAGGTCATCATATTCTCACATATTCTAGAGAATTCTTGATTATTCATTCAAGTAACATGTAGAACATTCTAGATTTCACATAATTAAATCAATTCATTAAATTTCTATAAAAGTTCTTGAAATTGCGACTGTTCGCAACACTCCCAAGGCCAAGGAAAGTCTGTCACAAATTTAATTGTTCTTTAATCAGTTTTGTGGCTTTTTCAGCAGCCTGTCTCTTTGCTCTAGGCAACGGAGGAATATCACTGACTGTTTGTTTTTCCTTCTTTTCATCACTGTCACCATGATCTGAGTCATTGATACATTCTATAGGATAGAGTAAATTTAAAGGTCTGTTTAATGTCCTTTTGTTGGGTATTATTACATTTCCCGTTCTGAATTGACCATCTTGACTCATTGTCAAATCACAAATTCTTCCGATCTTCCAGCTTCCTTTAGGGAGATCTTCTTTGATTCGATCATCTTCAATTTTTACTGGTCTATTATTCTGAATATACTTTCCTCTCAGTCTATATGTTGTTTTTTCTCTCCTTGGCCAAGTGACTCGATATCTGCCATTTACTGTTTTTAATTTACCTTTAAAGTTTTTCAAGGCCTCTTCATCATCTGAAGATTGAAGTTGGTCTTTAGTTCCTATAGTTTCAAATTTCCCATCATTGTCCGATGACGGCTTCAGGGGCAGACATTTATCAATTGAGGAATGAAGACAATATTCTGTACTACGTTTGTTTCTGTTTACAATCGGTATCTTATGTAAATGATCTCTGGATCCCTTAAACTTTTCTTGCATTCTTCCTGTAAGAATCCATCCTACCTTTGACGATAGTAAGTATAGTCCTTGGTTGACTTTAATTTTTTCTGATAATATTAAATCTAGGTAATAGTCATTTCCAATAAGAATGTCTATGGCTGAATTTTCTGCAGTTTCTGGTAGGGTATCAGCAAATTGTAAATGTTTCCATTGGTGCTGTACTTGTTTAGTGATGTTAGGTGGTAACGGTCTTCTTTGTACTGATCCAGTTATTTGAGGCACAACATTTGCATCAATTCTCATGCAGTGTCCATCCTTTAATTTAATCCTCAAAGAGATTTTCGGTGTTTTTACCGTCTTCGGATTCCTTGCTCCAAATGTGTTAAGTGATATTTCTTCTGTTCCTTTCCTCTGCAAATTTAACTTCGAAACTAATTCTTCAGTAACATATGTTCTCTGAGACCCAGAGTCCATCAGAATTCTTACAGATTCAACTCTCCTTCTATTCAGATCTGATGCATCAATTCTTGCAGTCTGCATTAGCACCATACTACCTGAGGAGAGTAGACTGTTTTCTGGAACACTGTTAACTGGTTCTGTGTCATAAACTTCTGATGTTTCAGCAAAGTGTGAGGGTTCTTTCGAAAGCTGCATCCTCTTATTGCAGAGACTTCGGTGATGTTTCTTTGTCTGATGGCAATGGACGCATGGTTTGTCTACTTTGCAGTCTTTGCTCAGATGACCTGGTTTAAGACAAATGTAACATCTTCCTCTGATCTTCTCTTTTCTGTCATTAATTGTCCTGAATTCCTTGCATTCATCACTCCAATGATTTCGTTCACAGAAGATACAAATGGGATGTTTTCTTTCATATTTGTTTCTTCTTTGTGATTCTTGAAATAATGTTGTTAGGGCTTCTGCAGATGCATATGTCCTTTCATTTATATATGAAATGGCAGGTAATGGTGTTTTTGTAGCAGATTGTTCTTCATGAGAGGCTAGGTTGTCCATATCTGTAGACTCTCTGGCTACTATGTAATTATCAAGAAATATTCTCAGCTTTTGCACAGTCCACTTTTCTTTCTTTCCTTTCTGTATTTCTAATTGTAATCTGGCTTCCTTTGGTAACTTTGTTATTATCATGGAAACAAAGACATCTTGATTTACATCCTGTTCCAAGGCTCTAGACTGCGCATATGTTTCTCTAGTTCATCCAATAATCTACGGAGACTGGAAGTGTTATTGAGTGCAGGCTTAATGTTGATGAGGTCCATGTAATGTTTGTTTATTACAGACTGCACATCTCCGAATCGTTCCTTCAATATTGAGAGAGCTACATCATAATTTTCATGGGAGAGCATAAGGCCGGAAATAGCAGATTGTGCTGTTCCTTCCATTTTACTTTTCAAGTAGTTGAACTTCTCAATATTGGAAAGCTTGGAGTTTTTGTTCACTGAAGCTTCAAAGGAGTCCCAAAATTCTTTCCATTTTAATTTATCTCCATTAAATGAAGGTAGTTCAAACTTTGGAAGTTTAACTACTGGAGATTCTTTCTCTTTGTAAATCTTCTCTTTCCTGTGAAATTCCTGAATTTGGAGTTCTTGGAAATGCAAAAGTTGTTCCTGCATTCGTGTCTGCAGATCTATCATGTGGTCTATTCTTGGGTCATTTAATGCTTCTGTTTTCAAATATGGAATGTCCATTTGCTCCAGTCTTTTCTCTTCTAGTAGAAGTTCTTCAGAGTGCTCTGTAACTTCGGAGAGCAATTCAAACAGCTTCTCACTATCTTCAGTAAATTTTTCAATTTCAGACTCGTTGTCGACTTTGCTCTCTAAAGCAATGGAAAGTTCTTTCATCGATTCCTCGAGTTTTGCACCAAAGTCCTTTAACCGCCTCAAGGAAGATTGAATCTGCCTTAACTTGGTTGTCAAATCCTCTTCTTCAGCTTCTGATGAAAGAAATGCCTTACTTTTAACCATTTCTTTCATAAGTAAATTCTTGTACCTTGTACAAAGTCCTTTCAAGTATGAGGTTGACATCTTCTTCTTTTCCGTGATAATTTCTTAATTTCAGGTTCCAATTCCCGGGTTCCGGCACCAAACAATGTGGCAAATCACAATCACACGGAAATCCTTTTTATCATTTATTATGGCGATTAAAGGCAAATAACAAATCCACAGGGGTTAACAATCACAATACCACATTGGCTAAGATATTCAGAATGTTTTCTGATATATACTTAATCTTTGTTTTCAATCTAATCTCAATCTTTTTCTCAATCTGATCTATGATCACAAAAATTGTCACTTATATACTATGAAGGAAACATCTAGAAATAGAAAGTTCTGTCAAATTCTAGGTCATCATATTCTCACATATTCTAGAGAATTCTTGATTATTCATTCAAGTAACATGTAGAACATTCTAGATTTCACATAATTAAATCAATTCATTAAATTTCTATAAAAGTTCTTGAAATTGCGACTGTTCGCAACAGATCTTGTAAACAAATACTTTCTTCTTTATTGTTACTTTAAGCTTTACAGCTTATCAGTATATACATTATAATACAATCAGATACAGTGCAGAAGTGAATAATTTACAGGAGAACCGTAAATAAACCGTACCTGTAATTCGTAATGCATCTTTGCTCTCCTGATCCCTCTTCTTCCCTCTACCACCTCTTCTGGGTCCTCTTGCTGCCCCTCTAAATTAGGATCACCCAGTGTACAATGGCCAGCATCAAGATATAACTTTCCATCGATATACAGCTTGTCTTTAACTAGAAAGACTCTCCTTTGATCTTCCTTGGCCTTCTTGTAGATGGGGTACAGGCCCTTTCTTCGTTCTTGTATTTCTTTGCATTGCCGATTGGATGGGTATCGGTTGCATGGGCTGTAATTGATGAAAGGAAAGGTTACCATTGTGCTGGATGTATTGCATTTGCTGATTCTCTAAATCAGCATTACTGTGAGGTGTTTGTTGATTGGCCTCCATCTTACCCTGCGCAGATTTTCGCCTTTGTTTCTTTTTCTTTAGTGGTTTGGAGGGCGATGGCGCCCCAAAATTCATAAGAACAAGTACTACTTACGCAGTCGAACACATACAATACCACAATGGAAAAATTCTCATTCTTCTAGGAGTGGAAACACAATTAAGTTCATAAATTCCCTAGACGAAGAAAAATATGTCCACCTCTGTACGTGTCACGTGATCCAATGTATAGTTAAATCGAATGCTGACATATTTTTCATACTAATTGTAAAGTCATTATTTTCACACTGAATTGTCTACGATTTTTCCATTTATCCGATCATGACAAGGGGCACACGGCGGATGTGACCGGTCGGCAGGGGATGTTCACTCCTCCATGGCACCTGATCCCATCTCTGCTGGTTTTAGAGGTCCGTGTTTGCTCTGCTCCCGATCTGTATAGTTTTGATGGACTTTGAGCTTGAGTACTGTACGTTATCTCCATGTTTCATTATATAGTCTTCGGAGACCAGGTTTATCTGTTTTAATGTATGATGCTGAATGCTGGAGGATGACAGAGAGTGATATAAACAAACTATCAAGTTTCCATAATGGGTGCCTCAGGAAGATCTTGAGGATATTTTGGCCAGCAAAAATTACCAACAAAAATCTATATGAAACAACGAAAACAACCGATATGAGGACATTACTAAGAAAATACAGATGGAGATGGATTGACCATGTCTTAAGAAAGCCAACAAACGATATCACAAGAGCGGCACTAAGATGGACTCCAGAAGGGAAAAGGAGGAAAGGCGACCAAAAACAACATGGAGGCGAACAGTTGAAAAAGAACTGAATCTTACCTGGGGAGAGGTGGAGAGGACAGCCATGAACAGAGAACAATGGAAATCCCTAGTCCTTGCCCTATGTGCCTCCGGGTGCAACAAGTACTAGGTAGGTAGGTAGGAGATAAGGTCCTCCAACAAACTGTTCGAATTCCAATGGATGCTACTTTATTAGCCGATTCCTTTGAAGCAGATTCATTCAAAAAGTTCTATATAGAAGAAGAAAACACTTGCCGTGGATTTCAGTTCCACATTCAGATATATCGACGACATTTTATAAATTTTCACCTTAAGAAAATTATTGTCAACCGAGGCGCAGCCGAGGTTGACAATGGTTTTCGAGGGGTGAAAATTTTCAATGATACACTCAACTACATGTACATGCAGTATTATTTTTTTTTATATTATACTGAATGTTTTATACAAATACATATTACAGTGAACCTTGCACGCACAAATTCTGCGCAGTCAATATCATTTTGAATGAAATATATGGAGATAACGAACAGCATTCAAACTCAAAAGTCCATTAAACAATACAAAATAGGAGCAGAGCAAACACGGACCTCCAAAACATCCGAGGTGGGATCAGGTGCCATGGAGGAGTGAACATCCCCTGCCGACCGGTCACACCCGCCGTGTGCTCCTTGTCATGATCGGGAATTAACGGAAAAATCCGTCGACAATTCAGTGTGTAAATAATGGCTTAACAATTAGTATGAAAAACTTCAGTCATCATTTGACTCAATGATAAATTGTATTTGCTGACAAGGTCATTGTATCGACCATAGAACTTACGAAATGATGACTTTAAACGAGACTGCTGATATTCTTGTTTCATCAACTTGTTTGTCAATAATTTACCTCGTTTTAGAAATTATACATACGTAGAGCATGCTCTTGCGTATCGAATCAACTGGGAGATGTAAACCCCGTATGCAGTTGATGAAGGTATATTGCTGCATAAGTAAGGGGAGTTGACGATTGAAAAGTTAAAGTCATCACGTTTATCGTAAAGCTTGGTTGTTAGATTACCATTAACGTCTTTTTCAAGTAAAATATCCAAATATGATACAGATGTGTCAGACTCTGTGGTATCTTTTATCTCAAGCTCACTGGGATATATCGTATCTACGTAAGAATGGAAATGGAAACGGAATATCATCCGTCGTCAAGCAATGTCGACTGTTGGTATGCTGGAGGGCTTGGCTTCATTATTCAGCAGGTAATAGTTTTTTAACAAACGTTTCTCGGCGAATCAGATTCAACTAATTTACATGAAAGTATAATATTTACACATGTTACCATTGTTAAATTTAAAGTTAGATTTGATCTAGAGTTGTGTTGATTACACTTCGTTTGCACAGTCCATCAATTAATAGCTTTGAAAACCTGGGGTATACAAATTTCGAAGTCATGAGTTAATTATAATTATACCATAGTAAGCTGTGCTAGTCCGCAGTACATTAAACAAGATGCCGCCATAGCCATCAAAAGCAAATATTCCGATTTTTTTTTTTAGTTTGAATCTGTGAGGTGTAAAATTAATAGGTGAAATGGAATTGACATACACATTCTGAAACCAGCGATATATAAAGGACACCCTGCAAAAACAACCATGTGTTAAGGAATATTCGAAAATGAATTTTTATAGAAGCTTTTGTAATTATATAGATAAAGACAAATTAAGCGCATTTATGGGTTTGTGTTTTATGAATGATGAATATGGAAACTGTAACTAAGTTACATATATTATAGTTACTATTGAATATATACCACAAGCAAGGGTGTTTAAAGGTCCAAAGAAAAACCATCCGAGTAACCCGGTACTCGATTGAACAAGTAAGCGAGTAACCGGTTACTACAATTCGTCCAATTTGACAACACTAGATTTAAGCAAAGTTGGATCAAAATATTCTTTGGGGAAATCTAAAAACCATTAATAGAGAAATTAATATTCAAAAATATCAAAAATAGGGAAGTAATTTTAACATCTTATTTTAGAACCACTTGGTGAGAAAAGAAAAATCTTCCTCACATTTTGTAAAATAATTTTTTCATAGTTTTGGACACAGGCTAGGGTGAAGCCACATTTTTACGCAAAAGTGTATTGGGGGAAATGATTTCTTTCAAGAACAGGAAAACAAAGAAATAGGTCTTAAGTCAATATAGCGTACATCTAAATTTGCTTTAATCAATTTTCAATCTATGGTAGGCCACAAGTAGGGGGTTCAAAGTTTTTTTTTTTTGTTTTTGTTTTTTTTTTAGTTCTTTTTTTTTTTTTTTTTTTTTTTTTTTTTTTTTTTTTTTGGTTTGTTTATG